GCAGGCAGGTCATCACCCCGTCCTCCGGCAGCCAGGTCAACCAGCTCCAGCTCGTCATTGTTAAAACGTACTTGAACGAGAACGGCTACGCAATGTCAGGGAAGTGTGATCGCACCTGCAACACACTCATCCCTTTCCTGATCTTCCTCTTCATTGTCACCCTCATCACTGCCTGTGCCCAGCCCTCCGCTATCATCGTCACACTCAGGTAAGGGAGGCTGTCCTGCCAGGTTTTGCCAGAGAACATCTAACAACCTTTGTTGAAGGGTTCTCAGTTTTTCATTCTAATGTGGTTTCCCTTTACCCAGGTCCGTCGATGAACAAGAGAGGCCTTTTGCTCTTGGGATGCAGTTTGTCTTACTCCGAACTCTTGGTATGTTTCTCATTATTTACACCACATAGAAAAACTGTCCTCGGTATGCTTTACCAACTTGTTAGTTTGGATGAATCTCTTATCATTGCTGCCCATTGAATCTACTTTGCCCATACAGGAAGTGCAAACGCTTTAATTTAGTGAAAAGTGAGTATTTGTTATTATTTTGTTCACCAAGACAGCAAACAGCTTTCTGAGCAGCTGAAGATGTGTCGTCAAGCATGTAGCCAAGCAAATCTGTCATCTGATGTTTTCATAGCTTATTTTTATTATCTTGTTCGTCCTCACTAACGCCACAGAGCGCAGGGATATGCCAGCTTGTAACACACCTCTGTGAACTTTTGAGCAGACAGGTGTAGAAAAGTGCTCGGGCTGAGTAAACGCTGCCCTTGCGTGGAATCCAATCAGCCTGGCCTTGCTGTGTGAACATAAAGTTGTCACAAAGTTGCAAAATGTGTGCAAGGATGCACAGCCGAACCCTGTGTGTGTATGATTATAGAGTTAACACAATCTAATAATGAGTTTCATTATATACACCTATACAATGTTACTGAAGTTAGCGGCGCTTCTGATCAGAATAAAGACAAACATTGCCACCAAGTGGTAGAGAAATGGTACTGCAGTGCAGTTACTGTTACTACTGTGCTGTATGTATTAGGATGTATTTGAATTCTGTGAAATTAAGTTTATTAGCAAGAAAGTTTAATTTGAGTTAAATTAATTCAGTTCAATTAAATATTGTTATGTCAGCCTCAACCCACTGTATAGTTTATATTCAGTTGGCTGAAATTAAAGTAATTAACTACAGCTTCTCTCTCCCTCCAGCCTACATACCGACGCCCATTTACTTCGGTGCTGTGATCGACACCACCTGCATGCTATGGCAGCAGGACTGCGGCGTGCACGGCTCCTGCTGGGAGTACGACGTGACCTCGTTCCGCTTTGTCTACTTCGGCCTGGCTGCCAGCCTGAAGTTCGTCGGCTTCGTCTTCATCTTCCTCACCTGGTACTCAATCAAGCACAAGGAGGCGCGAGCTGAGCGCTGGCGTCAGCACCTGCCTCCACTGGGTACCGTCAGCGAGCTCATATGCCACGCCGGAGGCCAGAAGAGCCACGCGCGCACCCGTTCCTGCCCTGTGTTCATCCCGCCTCGACCCGAGCCGCCAGCCGCCCTCCTGCTTAACCGCGGCCACAGCAGCCTCAGCTGCCCAGGCAACGCCCTCAAAGCAATAACTCCCCCCATCTTGCTGCCACATCACCACCGAGGCTCTGCCCACGTCTGAGAGCGCGCCGGTTTCATAGTGACACGTGCCTTCCTGTCTGTGCATTTGCACGACACGGCGTCTGCTCACCACACCAGTCAGACGCCAAGCGGGGGGTCCGCCGCTGCTGTAGGACAGACAGGCAGAGACACAAGTGCGCCCACCACACCTAAAGGGCTGCTCGTCCTTTACGATGACAGGAGAGCGAAAGATGTTCTTTCACTCAAGAGCATATCATCAGCTGCAGCCACACGGCATCCACACAGAAGGTCAGACCTCCAGGTTTGGACGCTATAAAGACATCTCATGGTGCTACTGTTAAAGGGCAGGGCATTATCATTATGTACAGTCAGATGAATCATCATCAACACAGCGTCTAAAGCACAACCTGTACTATGCAAGCTCCTGTGTACAGCTCCTCCCTTCTCAGTACTGTACAGCTCCCTCTGTATTCCACATCTGTACCTCTTCTGCTCCACTCATCCACCCATACCACCACGCCGTTGTCCATTCTTTGATAATCCCATTTTCACTTGCAGGTTAAGCATACTCTTGTGCATTTGAACCTTTTGCACCTGTTCTCTCGTCTGGTGTTGTCCACATCTTCAGTGGGACTGCTTTCTAATCCTTTCACCGCCTTCATTTTTCTTTCTTAACAGTGCCTCTCAGGCTGCCTCGGCCAGTCCAGTATAAAAGGCTAGCTACCAGGGTAAACGCTAGCTACTAAAAAGCCAGTCATTTCTTCTTCAGCTGGGCGACAGCACTTATTGGTCGTCACAGATGATCGTCTGCAAGTTAACCATGTAGCTCAAAGCAGGCAAAGACCAGTTGGTACAGTGTAGAATGACTATAGGCAAGAAAACGATATTTCATAGCAAGTGGTGTTATTAAAATGTTATTTGTCAGGCGGCAAAAAGAAGAAAGGAAATAAGAACGGTACATTATCTCTTACCATGTGCTGAAGTTACTGAATGTCCCAAAGATGTGACAGTAGGATTTATTTTAAAGTGGCAAAACCCCCGTTTACTTTAACCCCTTTTTAAAAGCGTCGTCTTGAGAGTAAAATGATTTGTATGGAATGAACCTGCAGATGAACACGTGTAATTTTGGCTTTGTATTGTAAAGGCGTCTCCATACTACTGATCATCAGATGTACATAGTAGTATTTTAGAATATAAAAGTAGCAGTGCAGCAAGCTTGACCCCTTATGTCAGTTATTGGGCGTTTGGGGCCATCTAGTGGACACAGAATGATTGCGCGTGAAGGCCAGTGAATGTTGCTGTTTGTCAGACCTACTGTACTATGAAATTATGGGTTTCTAAGTTAATCACTGCTCTGGATTAATTGCTTCAGACCCCCAAAGGTTATAATCGAGAGAACAGATGACCTGCTGTCTTGGATACTTATTTAAGTCAGATGTTTAAATTTTTTTCTGGCAAAGTCTGCTGAGTTTCCCGTAACACTGGGCTTGTGTTGTTTAAGTAAATTATAACTTAACTTCCTCTAATCAGGAGCATTGAAGCCTTGTTGTGTTCTGATGTTAGAAATATATAAAAGTGCATTGAAAAACTCAAATGTGAGACTTTTTTTTAAACCACATTTTTAGAAGTATTTTTTCTCCACGTGCGAGGGGATACATAAGTCTAATAAAAGTAACAGTATTTTATATTCTGATTGGTATGAGTTAGCAGCCCTGCCACTTAAAGATTATCATAGGTAGATCAAAGATGAATTTTTAGTGTTACCGTGACTTCAAATGAAATATTCATAAGTCATCATTGTGTAAATATTAAAGCAAATGAATCATATTATAGAGCTCACGTGTAGTTAGAAGCATATTTATAAACTAATCCATGATGTTGTAGTTAAAAAGGTAAAAAAAAAATTCTTAAAGCTAGAAAAATGAAAAAAAAGTGGTTGAACAGTATTATTCACACGGGAAGGTTCATTTTACATCACAAAGGGGAAAGGTTGGGATTATTGAACTGTTATCCATCAACTGAACATAATAAATTAAAATGTTGAAACTATGCTTCCCAGAATGTCCTCCTATATTATGATTCTCTGCTCTTCCTCCCCTGGGTCGTATTCATCACGCACTCTAAAGAGGACTAGCAACGTAGGATTACAAATCATCTGCTCACTTACTGTGATTGCTGCTCATGAAACTCTGTTCTGATCCTTAAAACCTGTGCAAAAATACCTTAGGAATATGTTCACTGCAAGGCAGAACAGTAACATTTCCAAAATATTACTTAGCCCAAGGCCTTCTGTGTTCTTAAAATTCGATTTTTATTTTTATTAAAGCATGAAAACATCTCTTTGAGGTGAAGCAAACTGCTCTCCTTGCAGGGAAGGCTAGAGAATCATCCGGCAATGCCGCACCAAGGCGGCGATTTCTGACTTTGCTGTACTGTACACACACTTTGATTTCAGTGTCCTGCTGTTCAAATGTCTGGATTGCTACTGGCACAGATGACTTTGTGTTGACTGCAAGATTTGCTGTCTTTCTTTTTTCTTTTCTTCAGTATTTACACTGAAAGTGAGTTTCCTGTACTCTCCAAGTTGAGCTTTTATTGCTTTGTGTTCCTCAGGAGCAAAAGTCTAATTACTGTTTGTGAACACTTGATTTACAAATGCCTTGAATACTTGATATTTGTCATTCAAATAAAAATAAAAAAAATCAATAAATAAAGAAAATGAACTTGCTTGAATCATTACACACGGAGACTTGAGGGTGAAAGGTTTTATTTCTTAACAGCGTCGTGGCTTTCCCGAAACCAGAGTTGTTCCATCATTTCTACACACACAGCTAATGCTGCAAAGAAAAAGGAGCTTCGTGAAACCAGTTTCCAATAGATAGATGTGAAACGTTGCCCTTGGAGAACCTTTTAGGCTTTTACTGACATGGACAAACCTGTAACAGTGTGTCATAATGTAACCACCTTGAAATGAACTGGCCATGTGCGGCACCATTCTGTCGTACGGTGACGTTTCTTTACAAAGTTACAGAACCACACGAGGAAGACGTTTTACCACGCGAGCGCTTTTCTTGTGATCAGTGAAGAAAATCTTTATTAAAAAAAAACCCCAAACGTGAGCCGGTGTCGTGTTTCACGCGCCTCGTAACTGACTGTTAAACTGTGCCGTGATTGTCTGAAAGCAAAACAAAGTTATGTTGATTCTGTAACCTTTTTAAAATTATTTCATAAAATCTGAGTTCACAGCAGACAGGCGGTGGAGGACCAGGGTCGTTATTTTTTTCGGTGGGGAGGGCTGTTTAAAAGTGCCTGTGGATTGTGATGGGAGTTTGTTGCGACTGGGCAGGACTAGGATAAACTGATGAATGGAGCGTAACTAACTCGATGAATGGAGCGTAACTAACTCGATGCTAATCACCCATTTAGAGATGGTTTAACCACTCACACCGTTTTTCATAAAAGCATATTAAAAACATTAATGGTGTTGTTATCCATGTGGAATTCAGCATTTTTAATTCCAACACTTAAGTTTAGCTGCATTAAGGGGGATATATATATGAGGAAAAAGAAACATAACACTGTTTACTAATAATTGTAGGCAACAGTAAAAAAATAAACAATAACTTTAATACTCATTATACAACTCTGACTGACTGAGGTGGCATTATTCTTTTTGCTTCGCTCTTGGCTAGCGCTCCTTAATCACCGTGTCTTTATGGTGACCGGAAGTTTATTGGCTGGCTGGCCAGAGCGTGAGTCTGCCTCAGAGGGTCTGACTGGAGGGTTGAGGCAGAGAGCCGCTGGCCTCGTAGTCCAAGGTGATGGGCAGAGCTGACTGAGGCAGCACCACCCTGACACTCTGTGTGCTAGTCTGTGTGGTGGGGATGGTGGTGGTGGGAGGGCTCCCTGTGGTGCCAGCTTGGACCTTAGGCCTCAGAGTCTGCGAGACAAAAGGGAGAAAGCCTTGGGCGTGGAAAATATCATCCTCTTCTTCAGGGTCCAGGTTATGACTAAGACTCTGCGGGCTGATGGTCTTTCGGTGACCGGGGCCGAGTTCTAGCTGGGCTCGCAGGCTGTTGTGAGTAAGCAAGAGATCATCGTGTCGCGTTTCGAGTTCTGTCAGCCCATTCCCGCTAAACGTTTCGCCTTCAATCTCCTCAAGCAGCTGCGCCCACGTATCGCTGTGGAGGACATCCCTGCCTCTACTCAGACCTGGTGATGATATCACTGCTGATTTTGACATAACGGACGTCTCAGGTCCGCTTACAAGCCTCTCGGGAAGGTCGTTGACAGCAGGCTCCAGTTTCTGTTCCAATGTGGGCCTGGGTGTGGGTCGTGCCGATGGTATTTTGCTGGGGATGGGGGTGGTGAGGCGAGTCTCTGTGACTAAGCCCGGCCAGACGTCACTGGCAGAAGCCAGCTCTTCTCCACTGCCCACTTCAAGCCCTCCACCCCCGGCCCCGGAGCCCAGCTCTGGCAGGATGGAGTCGTCAAGCTTATGGGTTTGGTTGTTAAAAACGTGTCGCAGTGCAAACATTTTATCTACATCCTTCTGGAAGTTGTCCCAATTCTCTGGGCTGGGGCTGTAGTCAGGCCTACATTCATACAGGCTTTCGTTTATGCTATACAAATCCTCCAGTCCCTGCCAGTTCACCTCCTCATCTGTCAAGTTGGGTAGCTTAACCTTGTTGTCCTTCCCATATTGGCTGCGTGCTGTCAAAGAAAGAGAGAGACTGTGAGGAGCAGAAAAATACGGGGAGCTCTTTTCAGGTTCACTCAGTCGGCATGCAGTCACGCTCAGCTCCCAACTCTCACCAAAGCAGCCAACGTATAGGAGTCAGAGGCCTCAAGCAACACACACACGCTTCAGAAGTAGCATTAGAAAAACACAGTATTCACCCTGAGCTCAAGCCATGAGTAGTGCAAACACATGCTGGCTTTTTGCTAATTCAGAATAAATAAAAAAACAGTCTGAGGAAAAACAAAAATATTCAATGATCCATTATAATATACTAACAAGTAATATGTAATGATATAGTTAATGAAGGGCCTGGGCTCAACTGAAATGCAAAGTCAGGCAACCTGGAATAAAAGAATGTAATGGCAGAGGAAACAAAAAGATGGTCAACAAACAAAAGATGAAACTCATGAAGCAAAGTAAGAGAAAGTGCTCGGTAATTCCCAGCAAAAATGAGAAAGGAATTCAAAATGCTACGAAGAAACAAAAGTAGCAGCAAAAGCCAAAATCAAGAGTTTGTCTCAGTTTGATAAGTGCAAGAAAAGAAGCGTCAGAGCCGCTTTTGGTCGACCGTCCTCGTGGAATCGGCTCTCTTCAGGACTATTTGCAGCTAGGAAAATGGAGATTGTCTGACATCGGGTTTTTAGGGACTCACAGGAAGGAGAGGCTTGTTCTCCTCTTTGACCATTTTCGATGCTGCTGCCGCCTGGTAAGCAGGTGCCAGAAACAGAGGTCAAAAGTGCAGAGGTCAGTGCCTGGACAGAGAGGTCACGGCAACTCAAGTGTCCATTCTACTGCTAGCTAATGGCCATGAGTAGATATGAAGAGCTATTCTGAATGTCGCGTTACACCGGGACAAAATGGAATGACTGTGGCTGGCATGGCATGAAATGTCGAGTGTTAAAGGAATAGTTTCAAGTTTTGGGCAACTTTATTTTTTGCTTAAGTAAGATGAGGAGATGGATACTCCTCTAAGGTCTGTCTGTCTGTTTTTACCCTTTGCTTTTGTGAGGATCAAACAAACGAGACATATATTGAGTTGATGAGAGGAGATTCCTGGAAGTCTCTTTCTATTCTTCATGCCTGGCAGGTACACACCATTCAGGGCTGTATATAAGCTTATCTCCCAAAAATGTCAAACTATTCCTTTAATGTCAGGTAGTGATGCATTATGGGGATGATGCGGTATCATGCATTGTCATTTACATGCACTTGATGCTTGGCCTCAAGTAAAGAAATATCCATTATTATTATGATTATTCTATTTAAACAGCCATGCTATCCTATAAAAAGATACTAAAATGATCAATATTTTAACATAAGAAACTGATAGAAATGTTTCATCTTGAGCATTGCTGTGAAAACATGTGGCAGAGAGCATCTTAGCTGCTGCAAATCGACAATCCACAGCGAGCAAATATAAAGACAGACTGTGTGCGCAGGATGAAACAAACAAAGAAAATATCTGTTATGCTTTGTTAGCGCATTCCCAGCATGCAGCCACAGATGAAGCGTCGGCACTCCGTGTATGACGGATTAATGGGAATGAGGCAGTTGGGCCCATGCAGGTGTTAAAGGGAGGAGAAAAAAAAAATAAGCCACTGAAGAGAAACAAAAACTTGGAGAATACCTGTGTGGCTCAAAGCTTCCTCCATCTTTACCTCCTGATAAAAATAAAAGCAGTCGATTGTTAATGTTTTGATTCAAGGAGGTGTGGGAGGGAAACAAACAGATCATTCACACTGAAGACGTCTTCATGCACCGCTCCTATATGCTATGGAGAAACGCAATCATTGGATGATTAGGAGGAGGAGGAGGAGGAGGAGGAGGAGACAATGGAGGAAAAAGTCTGAAAGGTCTTATGACTGGGCTGGGTTTAGAGATGAGGAGATTCAGAGTTAAGTGGTCTGATCAGGCGCTCACTTTACAGGTTATCCCCTTCAAAAGCAAAAAGGATACGAGGTTATCCAGTCAGGTGATTGCTGAGGGTTAAGTCACACATCACAAATAGATTCTGCTGGACCCATTTCACCCCACAGTTAAAATTTTAATAATCTAATTTTCCAACTAAAACATCACTTGATTGAACCACAACAGTAATTTCATTGGTTCACAGAGCTGGCACCGTAACTGAGAAAGGGCAGCCAGTGCAAGTAAGAGATTTTCGGCTGTTTTGTGACATGTGCTGGCACGGATTTGACAAGACCAGCATGCCAGCGCTGAAACACAATCAGGTTTCTCAGAGCAGCTTTGGCCGCTCCAGTGCTCCACTCTCCAGCTGGTAATTACAGACATGAAAGTTTTATCCTCAGGACATAAACAACGCAGCCAGTTCATGCCACACACAAACGCTGTATAGCTCAGACTTTACAGGCTTAGGTCATACTGACATTACTTATTAACCGCCTCCATCACTGGGATGTCTTCTTTTAATGATCCTTGGACCAACTGGCGGTGATAAAAATAAATAAATAAATATACTGTGGCTGCCTATAGCACCGATGCGTGACAGGCTCGAATAAAACGACAGCCTCAATTGCTGTGATGACAGAGTCCTCCAAATAATAACCCTAACACTCGGTGACTCACAAAGGGGAAGATTGGCCACGATGCACAACTGTAACCTGGCCCTGTAATTTTTCTTTTTTTTTTTGATAAATTCAGAATATATTCCAGTAGAGTGGGAGATCCTGAGCTGAAAGACAAGTCACAGTGCACGTGTAGGTGTGTGGGTATGTGAGAAGAAAACACAGGAAACAAAGGGAATGCATATCTCAGTGATGATTACTTGACCTCCACCTGAAATTTGAGCAAACTGAGTGGATCGTCCCCAAACACATGCACCATGCAGATATGTACAAACACACACAAGACCGAGACTGAGACAGATTCAAACCACAGAAGACTGGAACACAAATATTATCACATCGTCCCTCGGATTGTGAGTTATATTAACGATACCACTTGTTACACGCTTCAGTCAGTCTGTTTCTTCTATGTGTAGAATCTGTTTCTGTCTTTATTGGCATCACAACCACCACTAAACCCAGTTCTTCACTCAAACGGGGAACAAACAGACTGAAAGGAGATTCTTTTATTTTAATTACTCTTTTTTTTACCTGTATCCAAGCCTTTAGGGCGAGGGTTACACTGCTTGTATCCTTGACAACTCCTCATCTCCATGAGCTGGGCATGGAGTGTGTTCAGCACCTCTCGATCCACTGCATATACTGCGTTGGTAAGCTGCCAACACAACACAACACACACAGACACTTGTTTTATTGTCATGATGTTATATCTTCTTGTTATATTCCCATGTAAATACCTGCAAAATTACTAACAGCACCTGTTCTTTAATAGAAGAGTTTTATAACGCAGGAGCCAATGAAAATTGTTTAAGAGTGACAAAGCAGACAAACGCAGTGAGAGAGAGCACAGCTGACTGATTGTAGACAGATGTTCACCCACCTGGTAGGGGTCACTGTTGAGGTCAAAGTACTCCAGGAAGCCGGTGGAGAATTCGCAGAAGAGCGTGTTGTGGGTCTCGTTGATTGTTCGCAGGCACCAGTACGTGTTGTTGTTGGAGCTGGTGCACGCACAGAATGCCCCCACTGCGAAATAAATGACACAGCTGCTGCCGTCAGTCCTAATCCTGACCATTATTTCAGGCGAAAACGTGAAACTCATTAAATGAATGGAAATTTTACGAATGTTTGACAACCAGATCTACATCATGTTAAACGCTGATCAAACAATCATTATCTCGCTGATGTTTGGAGACTGAAGCTAATAAACGCACGTGTCCAGAAGGGAGCCGTCTGCCAGTGGTCATTGTTATGCGTGAAGCAAGTGAGGCCTGGAAGGCTGCAGTCGTCGCCATTCCTCTGGCGCTTCTTCTCCTTCCTTTCCTTCTTTCTCCTGCGGATCTCGTTGTACAACTGGGCCTTCCCGTCTATGTCCCGCGCAGCCTCTCTGTCAGACAGAAACGTGAGAGAGGATTACAAAGGCGTGACGCAAACATGACATCAGCCCCTACCCTCCCTGGTGCAAGTAACCGCAGTAATTGGGGGGATACAAAGGGGACTTCCAGAAGGCCTCACTGATGCCAGGCTATGACAGCCTGTTTACTTTCATGTTTGAGGCCTTACTACAGTATTTCCAATTTTCTCTGGAATGACATTCTAGCCACTGTCCCCTCTTCCTCCAGCCCGAACACACGGCAGGCACTGCGAGAAACAGCTGCTTTACATAAGCATAATCGGTTCCCAGTGTTTCCTGGTGCGAGCCGATCACTGTGTTTGAGGGACTAACTGATTTCCCTCTCTGCTGGATCATTCTGTCTTTCCATGCAACTCAATCACTTCCAGACACACAATGACAACATCTGCTTTGTCATTTAAAGTCTATTGAGGGACCATTTATAGATGGCATGCCTTCTTTAGAAACCTGTGTGTATTTTAGGATCGCATACATCATTAACACACCAAAGTAAACGTACATGATAGAGTGTTTCAACTGTGATCTACAAAGCAACCGAAAATGAAGATGAGCTTTAGTGATGGATTCGTGCAGGGACCACCATGCAGATGTACGGTTAAAGAGCATTACAGCACACACCATTTGCACATTTTCAATCAGTTGCAGATTTCATGGTCAGTGTTAACTGAAAGATAAAATGCTGAAACTAAACAGGGCAAACTCAGAATTAAAAGGGGAAGAGAAACTCACTTAAACGGATGGAGTTGATCATTCCTGCTCTTCAATCTCTCTGCCTTGTTTCTGTGTCCTTTGCTATAATAGCTGTTTTTTATGAACAGAAAAGGGACCGTGGAAGAAAAGTTGTTTTTTTGTTTTGTTTTTTGTTGTTGTTTATTTTATAATCCATGTAATCCAGCAGGGTTTGGAATAAGGCCTAAAACAAGCTTTAAAATCAACTTTTCCAACAATACTGGAGATATAAATGCATTTTTAAAAGTGAAATTATAAGTGACTGACCTCTTCTTTCCACAGTCACAATCATCTGGCCGTGTCCTCTTCAGATGACCTCTTACTTCTCGCAGTTTTTTCATTTTTTCTTGAAGTGCTTCAATCTAGAAATACATAAGCAATACAACCAATGACCTTTGATAAAAACAAATATCCAGAAAACTGTCCAAGAGCCTCATATTGAACCTCATACACTCACCTCCTGGTCCACATAGCTCTTATGATCCTTCCACGCTCTGGGGGACTGGTAGATTTCTCTCTCGCAGTGGACGCTGTCGTTCACGAGGATGTAACACCTAAAAAAGATGCAAAAACACCCCCTGCTGTATTCTACTTTATTGACGCAGAGAAATGTAAGTGAGAGGGGAAATTTGATTGCTTACTTGTGGGTAACTTTCACAGAGTTCAGGTATCCGACTGCATTTGTATCATCTGCCAGCATTTCCTCTGAACCGTCGTCAGACCCCAACTCATATTCTGGTTCCTCTGGGTTGTAGTGACGCTTGGAGATGACACGAGGACGGACAGCTGACTGATCATCTGCCTGAAGGTCAATATCATATATTTGACCTTCAAACTCCACAGACAGAGACCTGGCAGGTCGAGTGTGGACGAAGCGTGGGCGATAACCTATTATAAAGAAAAAAGGATGCTATGTATTTCTTTTTACTCTCATTTCCACCTCATTTCAACATTGCAATGAAGTAAAAGCCAGCATCCTAATACACCAACTGATTTTTGGTAGGATATCCTATCTGGATCTTTAAGGCTTATTACATGTTCATACCATTGTTGTACTATTTCCAAGACACATCAGAGGCCATCAGACCATTTGATAACAAAGCCCCAACAGCCCACGCATGCACAAAGGCACGTCCAGAGCATACATTCCAGGACCTGTTGAACAATGTTTGCTTTTTCCATGCATGGGTCTCACTAGAGCATAAAAAATCCATTGCCGGGAATAAAAACTTGAGGCTTTAAAGATTTCTCTTTCTAGTACTGAGAGACAGACATTAATGGGACTTTTTAAGAAAACAAAAGCTCTTGTTTTTGAAGTGAAATAATCTGACACACATGTATATGCATTTTGCCATGGTTTCAATTAAATCACTGTCCGTCTATATTACAAGAAGAAAGAGCAGGTTTGGGTATACTCACGGCGGCTTGTTGAGGAAGGAAACTGTCGGTGGGAGCGGCGTTCGGTCTTGGATCGTTTATACTGTGCGTCTCCACAGTCGCAGGCCCTCTCCCTTTTGTCGTAACTGTCACGGGGCTTTAGGCTGCGGGCTCTCTTCCTGGAGCCTTCTTTGGAACCACCTTTACACTTCTGTATCCTCCACTTCCCTGTGATCTCCTCAACGCAGTGCCATTTCTGCAGAAAGAATTACTTTTGGTAGCACAATAGGCTTGCAAAAAAAAAAATAAACCAAAGTTTCCTTGCAACAGCAATGAACACATCTTATTTCTTTTTGGGTATGGCTAATTAGTGCCTTAGATGTTAATGATATGACAGCACAATTTGAGATTTCACAACTAAACCTTTAAGAAAATGAGCACATGCTTCTAACAGACATATCAGAGCCTGTGGGAACGAACGGCATCCAAAAGCAGCGAGAAAGATCAACCAAAACTAAAACATGAGGCGAATTGGGTCTGTCTGGTTTCTGGAAAACAAAGCGGAGAGCCATATCGTTTTCACATTGGGTATGTCCATACTATGTGCGTCACTGGGGTAATTGTGTAAATACATGTCCATACAATCGCAGACATCCCCCGCGCCATTTCCCAACATGAATTCACGCTGGGAAAAGAAAGTTTTGAAGCTAATTGCTGTGAGTAGTGCCGCTTGTTGGGTCTCGAGTAAACGAAAGAGACACATCAGTAAAGTTTGGTATAGATGATGAGGGCTGAGTGTGGGAACGAGGGTCCAAACAAAGGGCTATAAGTCAGATCGGGTTCCTTTTGGAAGAGCTTACAGACCAAACAGGGCTGTTATATCAGCATCAGACAAGACGTGAGAGCGAGAGAGAGAGATGTATTGTCACTGGAGGACGAGAACAATCTCCATCTTTCTTTCTCCTTCTCCCTCGCCCTCCTGCGAGTGCTTTAAAGGTATAAGAGTATCACTGCAGCAGCAGAAAAGCAGAATAATATAATATAGAATTTCAGGATATCATCCTGAGACCGATCCATGTTGAGATTTTCCACTGTGCATAATAACAAAATAAGATAACTGTAATCAAATTTGTTAGCATGGATAAAAAGGAGAGATAAAGCATTTGTTTGCTTTGAGCAAGAAACATTTTACTGGCCTCCAGGTTGCTTATATGAAGGTATAGTTAAACCATTAATAAGAAGCTACTTGCAATCAGTGTTGGTCAAGTTACTTGAAAAAAGTAATCAGTAACTAATTACTTCCCCCCAAAAGTAATCCTTTATTTTACTGATTACTTATTTTCAAAAGTAATTAATGACTTAGTTACTTAGTTACCTTTTAAAAACATGATTTACTACCTGAATAGGTGATAAAGCGATAGATCTTTCAGCCCAATTCTACTTTTTCTGCGTAATCCATCATAGAAAATGTAATCAAATGGAAAAGTCTCTTTTTAAAACTTGTTTTAATCTTTTAACTTTATGCATCAAGCAAACATTAAATTATATGCATCATTCTCTGACTGGAAGAAATTTGTTTAACATTTAAACCTATTTTCTGCACATTCCAGCACATAAAATAAAATATTTTTTTGTGTTTACACTCAGTCTTTCAAATAAATGCAAGTGAAACACAGCAGAAAATAAATAAAATCAAAGACTCAGCGGTCCTGTTGCTCTATTTTCACCTGTATAGTAGGCGGATGTTTTCCCTGGTGCAGGTGTGCCGCAGCGGTCAGTGGAAGAATCCGCGAGTTTGTCTGTGAATTTCCCTGGTAGCGCACTCGGTGCTTGCACGGAAGTTTAGGGGTTTTTTCACTGTAAAAAGAAGTTTTCTTCCCACAGCGGACGCTAATGTTTTTGTCACTTTTTACAGAATCAAACTCAAAGTAAGGTCAGTACTTCCACGCTTTAAACGCTGCACGCTCACACTCTCTCCTGCACTCGATATATTATCCGTTGTTGATCTGCACACAGCTGTACGTCATTGTCATGAGACACTCTCGCAAAAAATAAAAAATAAAAAATCACGGTTTTAGTAACGCAGTAACGCAGCGTGCTTACGGGAAAGTAACAGTAATCTAATTACCTTTTTTGCAATAGTAATCCTTACTTTACTCGTTACTTGAAAAAAGATAAAATACGTTACTTGTAACATATTACTGCCCATCTCTGCTTGCAATCACTTCAACACACTAGATGTACTTATGAGCACATATGATGAGCTTTCACTTGCATTATATGATGCAGTATACACCTCTGATGCCTATTGCTCCTGTTAATAACTCATTGTTATACACACTGTGAGGTGTTCGTTATGATGGATCTGGACTGCATTAGCCAAACCCTTATAAATCTCTGATTGAATACTACAGGACATTTGTAATAATTTGTCTTATTCTGGCCTGTCTGTTCCGGGGCCACAACCTCTACTATTTGGCTGTTGGTCTGCCAGAAAATTCATGGGCATAGATCAAAGGGATGTACCAATTAGCGCACCACAAAACGGTGTAAAGCGGTCCAATTATAAACCAGTTGTGGCTTTATAGAACAGTTCAAAAGGCAGCTAAGAGGTCACTTCAAAATAATTGCATCGGCTTTCTTTAGTGGATATATCAGGGCACTCATATGGTCAAAAGGTTGCAGAAAAAAGAAATGCGCTTGTGTGCAAATGGGTGTTTCTCCTTTACCTGTCCGGGCTGTTCACACGGTGTCTGGAATTCAGCCTGCTGGCAAGTCTCTCTGACCTTCTTGTACTTGGGGAGACTGTTGCTGTGTTGAGTACTCGCTGAGTCGTCCTTTTTTCTCAGGATCTTCCTACACGACAAAACAAGGAAAGCAAAATCATATCAAATGGTGAGTGACGTCAAATGGCGTCAAATTCAACTGCCCTGTCCCCTTTTCCTTTACAACCACCACCACAAACACTGGCTAAGTCTCTGCTACGGCCATGCCAACACCACTGTCCTTCCTCTTCCATTATACCTCGACTAGCCACAGCAGTCACAGACAGAACGAAGATGCCAGTGAGGCACAGAACAGCCTGTCCCCTTACACAGGAGGGCCACTGCAGTGTTTAATTTTTTGTTGCCGTCTTCTTTGGCTGGAACCAGCCAATGTTCACACGCTAGCTTGGCTGACGTATCTTGCCTTCAGCCAAGAGTGATTAAAGAGCAAACAGTTGTTAAAGACCCTCCCTGATTGCTGCATTACGTAGATGGAGTTTTAAACAACGCAGTCAGTCCCAGCTGTCATTCAGCATTTCACAGGCTCAGATGTAGTACTGTAAGGTCATGTGAGGTTATTAAATCAGACAACATATCACATGACTGGTGCAGGAACTGCAGATAAAACTTCGACTACTGTATTTGTGTCAATAGAGTCAAGTTAATGGAGGCTAATCTTATCACTTAAAGAAAAGTGGACCTGTGGACGTCATTTAAAAAAAGTTTAGAGTTTAACTGAGAAACAGATTTAAAAGTCAGCAGGCTGCTGGCTGACATGAGCAGCAGCAAAGCTAACAAAAGCTTCTTTTATTCTCTTGAATACGTGTGAGAAATGATAGCGGTGATGTAGCAGTAACAGCAGCTGTAAAGAAGAATGTGACACTGTAATCTATAATATTTTTCATTTAAATTTTTCTCCTTTTACACAGTTAGACTGTGCTGCCAGCACAATCTGCCTTCAGCCAGCGATTGTTCTCTTGCCTTTCGTTTTCATACGAGTGCCCTCATGGCTTTCTTTTCTTGTTTCTTCAACCTATGTTTTTTTTAACCCTCGGGCAACTGTATATCATAAAGTCGAGCTTGACGGGATTATTTCTCTCCTCAGTTGTCATGTTTCTGTCAGTGTACCTCTGGCGTTAGCACAGCGAAGTATGTTCATTGAACAAAAGTGGACTGACAGCTTGGAGGTATCATTTTCTGCGACATATATCTTGTGGCAGAGGAGGTTAAATAAAGAACTGACAGGGTTTGTGAAAGGACACACACTGGATGGAATCAGAAAACAGCCTTGGGGAAATAGTCAAGTGTATTCTGCAGTGTGGCTCCTGCATTCCACACTGGGAAAGCTGGTGACATGTCCTGTGAGTGGATTGAGTGTGAGGCTTCCAGCTATTCCTCAGGTAACATCATCCTGAGCTTGGCTAGCCTTTGTTTATTTTGCGTATGTCTAGTCCTCCCATGTTACTGAAATGTATCTTCCTCCTGTCTCCATCGATGCAAGCTAAGTCAAGTTTAGGACTATGATCTAGGATTGTGTACTTAATATATGCAAGCCCCCCTCCCCTCCGAGGAGACAAAGACTCGATAGCTTTTCTTTTCTTTTTTTTCCCCCCTAAATGACCTGGTTACATGTGTCAGCGCCCCTTGCGTGAACTGTCATAATTTTCCAGGAATTTTAGCTTCGCCAAACAACTTACAACACTTTCAATTGGTTACACCATCACTGCCGTCCAAGCCGAATGTGGTCAGGAAATGTCTGTCAGATAACAAATAACCGGGAAAAGCAGATGCGTTGCTCGAAAAGGGAACACGCACCGAGCCCTGCACATTTCGGGTTCATTTAAATGTTTTCATCAGGTTTATGTGACACACGGTGACACGGATGTGTTTGTGGTGTGGAAAGGGAATAAAGAAAGCCGGTTTACCCTCGCTCCACAAGGAATGTGTCTCTCCAGACTTTGGGTTTCCGGTTTGGTTTGAATCTGGGAAAACAAAACATACAAAGTTTATAAGCTTCATATGGCCTATGCACTCACTATCAGCTACAGCACGGTGGGAACAAAGCTAGTCAGAATTATGGAAGTTGATCACAGCAAGAACAGGACCTTGCGGGCGTAATGCTCTTTTAGTATTAAAGGGATTGTGCTAAGTTTTTCTGTAAAAACATTTTCGTGCAGATTTATTATAAATAGTGCAAGGCACAATAATCTTGCATTCCTTTTATACACGGTTAGTACAGTGGGTTTGCTGGAGACAAAAAATGATTCAGTTTGCAAACAAATTCTACAGGAAACCTCATAAAGAAGAAACTCAGTGTTTCCCAGCCAAAGTCCCACAGCCAAGGAAAATCTGCCAAATTGCCCCAAACCCACTCTGCCCAGCTGGAGCAAAAGCCATCATTTTGGCTATGGAAATTTGCATTTGCTCAATAGAAGTCAATAGAAAGAGTTGTTGCACATATGCACGCTGTGGAATTACATGTACATAGTATCCATTACAGCATGGCATAATGGATCCACACAAACCTGTTGCCAGTCCGTTCCTGTTCCAGCAATTTAAGGATGGGCTTTCCATCCATGTCTGGAGGGATCTCCAGTCCAGCAATGTGGAGAAATGTGGGAGCCAGGTCAATGTTTAGCACCAGATGAGGGTTTCTGGAACAGTACAAGCGTGAAAGACGTTAAGTGATAAAACTGATGGATTGAAATATCAGAAGTTTACTCAAAGAAGACAACAAGAGTGCAGCAAAGACTTACTGAATGTTTTTATAGTAACAGAAAAAATGTGCGTAGTTACTTACACTGCCCCAGGCTCCACATTCGGTCCTCTCATGAAAAACGGTACACGGATATCAAAATCATAAGGCATTGACTTGCCCTTGACCAACCCGAACTGACCAATGTGGTATCCGTGGTCTGCTGTATAAATGATGTAAGTGTTGTCCAGTTCGCCAGTTTCCTCCAACATGTCATAAATCTGTGTGAAAAAAAGCATCAGTAAAATGATCCATGGTAGATTACTCAATTATTTACAGTAACTACATATCCATTAATAATTACTCATACCTTCTGCACTGAATCATCCACAGACATAAGCGTCTGTAGCCTTTTCCGATGCAGGAAGTTGGTGAACTCCATGTGGATCGGTTTCATGGGGCCTGTGTACTGCATGATCCAATGTTTGTCCATATTGGGGGCATAGTTGTAGCTCGGGGTGCTGAAAGGGCAAAAGGAAAGGAGAAAGGAGACGGGTATGTTAAAAAAAAATGCATTATTTGGGTTTCATTGTGTTGCCGTTTAACTCGCGTAGAAGTCCGAAAAACATTTTGGACGTGTCCACATCAGAGCGCCTAACAGCCAAACATTTAAGATGCCAAAAACACCTGTCTGCTACTTTTCACAAACCTCTGCTCAGCAGCAGGTGTCACAGTTGTCCACTGTGCTTGACAAGCATCAATAGCCGCTCAGTTTGCTGGGGGAAAATGTCTTAATACTTTGCACCCAGCACCTTGACTGTTTTTCCACACCTCTCTCAGACCAGATCTCTCCTCCTCACACAGACACAAGTCTCCTCGCTTCACTACACTCCTGGCAAAGACAAGTCATTTGAGGGTTGGCACATGCTTAAGAAAATAATAGGTCCAAAAGTCGGGTTTGCAACAACTTCTGGTCTAAAAAAGCAAAGAAGTCATGCTCATTTGAAATTGGGGAATTACAAGACTGGACAAAGGCAAGACAGAGAGAAAAGTGCTTGCGTTTGTCGAGTTTGTGTTCAGCTGAAGGAAAGTGTTCCCCTGCTTGCAGTAAAGGGAAGCGGAACATCTGATGTTGTGCAAATCTTCTGCAGTTGAAAGCAAAATAGCACACAAATTATATACACTAAGTATATATAATGTACGTAGAAACCCACAGAATCTCAGTAGCAGTGAAGTTGTGTCCCTTCAGCTTTAAGTAATCCACTTTATAAATGAGCAGCTTCTACCCCTGAATAAACAGCCCAAGCCTCAAAATCTGCGTACTTAATGAAGACTTGCTTTGGGAGCTACTTTGCCCTCAGTGACTGAGCTGCCTTCTGTCCTCGTCTCCTCAGGACTGCTTTGTGAGAAGGGTGAACTCTTCACCCACTTAGCAGGCGGTCTAATAAGACCCACAAAGGGACCTGTTTCTGGGCAATGGGCCACCAAGGTATGGGGGCGCTGAGCACCAGGGAACCAGGAATGTAGATGTCAGTGGAAAGACGCCAGTCCGTAGCAGAGGTCACACCTGCATACTGTTGCATATAGTGCAGGTCTACCTTATTGTCTACATTATCCTCGGCTTACAGGAGCACTCCATGCACCCTAAAATGCCTCCTAACCTTAAAACGTTAGGAGGCACGCTTGAAGATGAGAGAGTTTCCATAAAGCAAGTTTTTAATCTATGGCCAGAATAGCATCTATCACTCCCTGCAGGGAAAGACATGCCATTGACAAACCGCACCAAATCTACAGTGTTTAAAATAGGTCGGGAACATAGTTCGCATCTGAGAGAGAGAGTAAAAGCACCTGAGGAATGTTAATGACATTAACATCAAACCATCCCCAGCTATTGGTGCTGTCAAAAGCACAGACGCTTGTTTTGATTTATGAAGCGGCTCCTCCTTAACTGCCACGCGGTCTCTTTCCATCTCTGTGCATAACACACTAGCTGTAGATGGCATCTACTACAAAGTCATCTTTCCATAATCCAATTTAAAATGGAACAGTGTCAAGAATATCCCCATCTATAAAAAGACATTTTTGAACATCGGAAAAAAAGTGTTCCCATAACTGTTATGAAAGTTTATAGTCAAACAAACACCCAACCATGCCAACCACCTGGGCTCTCCTTAGTAATCTCACCACTTAATCTACACAAACACACACACAATAACTGGGGCAACCCCTTTAGTCACTCGTGGGCCCCAGCTCCACCCCCTTCACCCGGAGACTCAAGCTAAAAATAAATTAATAATGTCACAAAGGGTGTTCCAGAGCGCACAATGCATTCCTCTGGTCCTAGGAGCTCCAGGGCGAAACTGCTGATTGATATGGATGGGGTCAGGAAGTCCTTTGCGAATTGCACAGGCGGGGAGGAAGGGGTAAGCAGAGCGAGCTGGAAAGAGAGAAGGAGATGACACTGGGAAACAAGGAGGGAGAGGTAAACAGAGTGATAGAAACAGAGATATACAGATAGAGAGACAGAGGGGTAGTATAAATAGATGACAAAGTTAAGTGTGACAGAAAGTGAGAGGCAGGAACACTAAAACCTCTGGGAAACATAAAGAAAAGGGAGTATTGAGTCTTCAAGTCCAAATCTAATTCTCTAAAACACCATGCCTCCACACATTGAGCCGTGCAGTGAGGCAGTAGGGCTTGGTGCCAGTGAAACAACCCAAAGTACTGCAGCTTAACTCAATGAGAGCTGCTGGAGGCCGGTGTGGGTTTGGCATAGAGCACAGTGCTACGTTAAAAAACCATTCCCGATCTTCCCTATGGTATGTGCCTCAGCTACTCTTGGATGATAAATCATTTTGATTTCACGCTTGCCAAGTCGTCGCCCCCAGCGGCTTCAGAGCAACCTGTCATCTCGTGGGGATTGGGGTGCATACTTACTGTAATAATGTTAGGCAAACCAAATCGCAAAAACTCAATTTAGCTGTTAATGACACAAAGGCTGAAATCAAAATCTGGGCCCTAAACACTCATTTTTCATTCTTCTCTAAGGCTACAATTCCTGTGTCAAAACCCTGATTAGTGTATATGTTTGAGCATGTATGATAATGTGAGCCTCAGTATTGCTTACATGTGCTGCGAAGCATTCGGGAAGAATTCGGCATACTGTGGCGCCGAGTCTTCTGGGCCGTGAGGAGCAGCGTGACTGACGACCATCATCACGGGACGGTGCGGATACATCTTCTTGGACATGCGGAAGAAGCTGATGCTGTCGTTGGTGATTAGGTCAGTGAAATAGTCCTTTGAAAGAAGAGCAAAAATAAGGCCCGTTAAAAGGGCGAAAAGTCTAAAAGAAAAAACCTAGAAATAAATATGGAACTGAGGGAAAATATACACCAAAAAAAAAAAGAACATAAATTACACAACACATGCTTTCATAACTCATTTGCAGTCCAATCACTGTGACATGTTGCTTGCCTTCGTCTAGTCACTTTCAAATAAATTGAGAGGGGCCATTGGGGATATGAAGTGGGGCCATTGAGTACACTACGGTACCAATCTGTCGAGTCAACAGCTGGCAGCTTGCCTGTGTGTGTGTGTAAATGAGTGTGCGTATGTGTATACAGTATGTGGGCAGTTGCCTCATCAGTGAATCTCTGCACTATTGAATGTGACACCACTTGATGGCGAGGGGCCAGGCCCTTTTAAATAGCATGTTGTGATAAATTTGCTTTCTGCTAACTTCATTTTATTTCGCTCACTTTCTGCTACATCTCCCTGCTTCCTTTTGTCTTTTTCACACAAAGTGACATCAAAATATCTTTTAAGAAACTGAGATATTGGCTTTGGGTAATATAAATGGTAAATGGACTGGTTATTATACAGCGCTTTTCTCCTCTACCTAAGAACTCAAAGCGCTTTATACAATTTGCCTCATTCACCCATTCACACCATTCATACAAGCACCTTTTCTATGCTTCTTCTATCTGACATTTACGCACATTTATACTCTGATGGATGCATGGGAGAGCAACTTGAGGTTAGTATCTTGCCCAAGGATATTTGGCATACAGACCGGAGCAACCAGGGATCAAACCAGAAAGTAGACTCAAGCGCCAACAACAGTTCTCAAGATGCCAAATGCTGTGTTTCTCTAAATTAAACACCACAGGCAAAGAGAGAACAACTGGATGAATGTGAAGAGCTTAGACACAGGAAATGTGAAATTGTCACAACACTGTACAGCAGTCCCACCTTGAACTGAAATTACAGTAGCATTCGCCAAGTTTCCAAGAGAAGACCAACCATTGTACCTGTTGTTGCTGCCTGGCATACAACAAATGAAAGGGAGTGCCAGGCTGAGAATCAAAGGGTAACGGGTGATTTCCTTGAAATGTCAGAAGTGGGTTTGGCTGATTCATCTTGTCTCTATTAATAGGTTTTACAGCTAGACCAGCTTTAATGGCCTGGCGGCTGTACATGCCCGTGGAGGCCGATGATTATGTGCACATGGCAAAGCACCGCCGTGCACTTTATTTTGCCAGCTCCCAAATCTGAGCCACTGCTGCTGAGAGCTCTGGCAGGTCAGAAGGAAGTGACAGTGTTGTGGGGAATGCCTGGCCAGTGACTATAAAATAGTCAGGGAGGTGAAGAATATCACTTTTCCCTTTTGGAGCTGATTGGTAATAGTAAGTGGCACTCACCCAACGGCACCCCATTAGTACATGGTTTCATTTTCCCAAATCATTCATCTATTTAATTTGTAATCCTCATAAGTTTTTAAATGACCTACAGGACAGCCAATGCACCAGTGTTTTATAGGTTTACATTTACAACATTTATTGTTTTTTCAAAGTTACAAGATTGCACATCTGTCAAATTAGCAGTGAGACACTTTATAATATCACAGCTGTTAGAGTTGTTGCTCTACTGTCGTGGGATTTGATATTGATGGATGATATTCTGAAACTAAATCTCACTCAAGAGTGTTTGACAAAACCCTTAACCTCAATTAACTCATCCTCCTACAGAAGAAAAATCAAACAGGACCTAACTGGATGAAATCACAGGGCAGGGTCTGTAGCTTAATCAGTGTCATGATGTGCAAGATGCACTCTGCACAGATACTCTGACCTTCTCACCCCATCCAAACCTAAAGAACTGCGGTTGTCCTGGTGGCAGCAGGTTGATGGGCTTTGGCAGTAAACAGAAAATATTGTGTCCATTTGGTTGTAAACCACAATCTGCTGACCAAGTCCGTGTCATGTAAACACACCGGCCCAAGCCTGTGGGTAATTTTACACCTTGGTCCAAGTTGGCAGAGAAGTAGCAATCCAAACATTTGTTTGCCCATCTCATAGGCCAGCCCGCCACATGGATTTCTTGTATATCCAGCACTGTGCAACCTAGGGAGATATTGGCACGGACTTGCGAAAACAAACTGACAGCTCTTACAAAAACATTTGGGGAAGATTGATGACCGATGCCATCTAGAGCTACAAAAAGACAGTGTAACCACAGTCATCCCCCAGCAGTAGCAAACAGTGGTGTTACAGCACAAAGTCATTCTGCAAAACTTGATAGTGAGACACAAAGAGGAAGAATAAGAGTGAGAGACAAAAACAAGTTGTCAAGTTGGCTTCTCATAAAGATGCACCACTTTTATAGCGTCTAAATATTGAGGAAAGGTGCATCATAATAAAAGGATGCTGCAGAAAGAGGAGGCGTCAACTCAGCTCGTTCCCTTTAATCCTCAAGAGAGAATTCCTGCCATCCTGAATCACCACACAGCCATAAGCTGCTTCACTGTCTGTATTTATAAGCGAGTGGAACCTGCAATTTGTCATGTGAAGTCTTAATATTAAGTCATAACGGCAAAACAAATTAGGGACTGAGCTAATAGAGCCTTTTCGTATGAATTATGAGAACACATACCTTGGCATAATCAGCACCATGTTTCTCCTTGTAACCATTCCGACAGACAGTATAATTATAGAAGCGGGAATTTTTGATCAATCCAACCCATTCGCGCCACCCAGGTGGGATGTAGCTGCCATTGTACTCATTGAGGTACTTGCCGAAGAAAGCTGCAGAAGAAAAGATGAGAGAAAGAAGGGAGAGATGGGCCTCTTTTAATATGCAGTTTCTTTATATATGCAGTCTTTACAAGCACTGCTTCCTTAAGGCGATGCCTGTAAAAAAACAAAAAAAAACAACATAATTGTGTGACTGTGCGACTTTATCTGCGCTTATGTGATGTTTAACATTTTTGCTTGTCTCCTTTTCCCTGGATTCTCTGACAACATTCTCGGATAGGCTGGGCAGGAAGCCAGGCTGTCCCAGAGACGGCTAATTGCAGACTAACGCAACGACTCCAAAACCACAAGTCGAGCTGCAGCCCACAGGACCCCACTGAGCTGCCCAGTTCAACGCCTGCCCATCACTCAGGCAGACAGTGTCTGATGAGACACGACATCGACCTGGCACGCTCAACGTGTTTGCATTTCTCACAGCAGACAGCCAGGCAGGCAGGCAGGTTTGTGGAGTCTAGCTTACTGTATAAATTTGCATTGACTAACATATGAATGGCGTTGCCAGGAGGAGATTAGAGCTAGTAGTGACTGACACTCTGTTAATCAGAACCGAGAACCTCATACAGGTGGACCATCGTCACTATCAAAACTGCCATTTTCCATAAATAAATAATAAGAGAACACCACAGGCATGAAATAAAGAGTCCTCAATTATATTTGTGTGAGTGTGCATTCACAAACCTGTTCTATAGCCAGTTTCATTGAGGTAGACTGCAAAGGAGCGCGGCTCATGCTGAGCTTGCCAGGAAGGGGAGGAACAGTTCTCATTGTTGGTGTAGGTGTTGTGGTTGTGGACATACTTGCCCGTCAGCATGGAAGAACGTGACGGGCAGCACATGGGTGTGGTGACAAAGGCATTGGTGAAAGAAGTGCCACCATCCTCCATGATCTTGCGGGTTTTATTCATTACCTGTAGAGAACCTGGAGGGCGAGGTAACGTGATCAGTGCTGTACAGTTACAGTGAAATCTTATTAAACACACGCAAATACTGTTTTTCACTCGTATTTACTTAATCTGTGATTCAGTCCTCTGAAAGGCAAATAATTACAATTCAGCACACGAGAGACCAGATGGCCATTCCGGTGTGGCTTATGGCCTCTACTTAATATTTAATGTGCCAAGAAAGACTACAGAAGTCCTGATGCAAATCACCACAAAGACAAAGAAACACATTAGAACAGAGAGGATTGAAGACTGGGAAAAACACTGAATTTTAGATAAACTGTGCACTTTTTCTTTTAAATAGGGAAACAAATTGAAGCCAAATGAAAATTTCCAGGAAGACCAGGGGTTTCTGCCAGGCAGCCTTACCCAACTCAACATCCTGGTCGTCAGTCATGATGAGGATGATGTTGGGCCGGATGTTTCTGCGGTCTCTCTGAATGCGGCCCCTGAGGCCCTGAGCCCTGGTGGTGGTGAAGGCCCAGCTGCCTGGAGCCCAATCCAGCGACAGGAGGGCCAACCAGGACAGCCAGTGAATCAGCATGGTGACTGAAACAACAGGCCAGAGGATGGGTAGATGGAGGAGATTAATGGAGAGAAGGGGAGAGAGAGAACCAGCCAGGCCACTCACTCACTCTTGTGCAGCTCTTGCAGCAGTGATGGACTGTGGGGAGACAAGAGGGGGAAATGTATAGAGACATTACAACAATAAGCATGGTGGGAGGTGAAACTTTAGGGTCAGTTTTGCAGTAGTGGAAGAGAAAACTGCATTGCACCTGCAGAAAGCCAGAATCCCTGTTGGAACATTTAAGCACATTTACTTCAGGTAACTTCTGTGCAGATGGTCACAAATCACACTCAAACAGAACAGTTTATCCATAAACAGGGAAGCCAAAACAGATTGGCTTTAGCCCTTAACGGTCCAGCAAGGAAAACTTATTCAGCAGTTCAAATATATGCTGTGTGCAGATGGAAACTCCATTAATACTGAACACAAAAATCCCTCAACCTCAACTCCCTGATCTGAAAGAAAAGAAAATACTCAACTCTGTCAAAGTTAAACAAAAACAAATAAACTGAAGATCTAGAAACACAGATCTCACCTCAGAGAATCCCGCGAGTCCCCTACTTTTACAGTTTTCTCTTTATCTCTCTCTCTATCATTTCCTGGTTTTCCACTCTTCTACCGTGTCAGAGAACACACTCGTGCACGGAAAGTCTCCATCCCTACTGGACAGCTGCTGTTTAGCTAACTGTGATGAGATTAGGCCATTGGCTGCACACCCAGAACCACTTGCCTGCATGAGCCAATTGTGGCCCCCCTTTTACCTGCCACTCAAAAGTCACCCCCTGGTGAGTCAAGCATGACACAGGGCCAGTGGGGGGAGAAAAAAAGGCACTGGAGGCGGGGAGAGGGTTCCACTACATTAACTGCAACGCCACTGTCGGGAATCACAGATGACCACTGAGTCATCACTTGGCAGCCTCTTGCTCACTATAACAGTCATCATAGCTGAATGCTCCGACTAAATTCCAGTGATCAGTAAAGTAAAATGTATACTAGTACAAACCTGAGCTCAGATTCTATTCCTGTACCAATGAAAAGCCAGTCTAAAGAAATTCAAAACATTATACCGGTAGTGTTGTGCTACAAATTAAAGTTAAAATGTAATAAGAATTCAAAGATGCCTTCAAATATATATAAAATATATGTGAAAGAATGGCTTCTGCCTGTGAGATGAACCGTGATGCAGTAATAATGAGAACCTCATCACCACCTGTGAAAAAGTGCCTTGCGGACAGCAGTCCCACTGAGTGGCACCACACTGCTCCCTATTCTGGGTTAATGGCCTGAAAACAAATGGCAGGTCTATGACACCTGAGCCCGGCCAAACCCCACTGGGTGGCTCCGCCGTTACCATCATTTCCACAAAAGGCCTGTCCGAATCAGCAGAGAGTAACAACTCTAATAAATGATTTGTATCTTGATGATTTTGATCTATCGCACAGTCCAGAATGAACTAACCTGCTTTGTTCGGATGGTAGTCGAGGACGGTAAAGATTCTGTTTGGTAATTTGCATCAGGAAATTAAAACACCTACTCTAGTCGTGTATCAGATAGATGCAAATCATCTCAAATACCCAACACCTCCCAATGTTGACCCTGCTCTACTACGCTGTTTATTTCAGCTGCTTCTCCAGTTTGATGTTAGATATGATAAGCAGAGCTTCAGACAGAGCTTTAAGAGTACTTTGGTGTACTGGGTTTCAGACAAGCTGTGTCTGGACTAGCCAGCCAGCCCAGTCATCGTGACAGCCCTGTGCAAACACTGGCGCCGTTTGGACAAACACCCCTCTGGTGCGAGGTGGCAGAGTGCACAGAACCTTGCAGTGAGCTACACACACAACACAAACTACTTTACAAACACATGGTGACACGCAGAAACTCATAGACGAGCCTTTATCCCACAAAAAACACACTCTCCTGCCGTGTGGATCCAAGTCCTCCTACACAAATTCGGAATGTTTCCCATATACAAGACACATAACCCATATCTAGACAAAGCTCAAGTCTCTGTTTCTATCAGAGCTGCGGAAGACCTGACATCAGCTGTAAGCCAGTCGGCCAGCGAGTGTAATGCTAGCACCCAGCGCAAATTCAATTTTACATGCCAACGATTCCAAGCAATGGCCTCTTCTTGCATCTTAGACAAAACAGACAAGAAGGTTCATTGTGGTGTCTGATGCAAACCTTGTGGTGCTGATCTACAGTGGAGTCAATAGCTATTCTGTCTGAAATGACTGAGACCGCAGGGCTAATAAAGCGCCACACAAAACCCCCCAATAGAATGAGGGCTGTTATTATGCAGGCCCCCTCCCCTTTTTCTGGACTACCGCTCGTAGTCCATTTCACCTGATCCACTTTGCTCACTAGGCCATCTGAGGTTCACTTAGGAGCAAAAGGACTTCTACAGGTCTTGAGTCATTCGATCATCCTTCTCAAAGTGACCCATCATCAAAGAAAACCCAAGTATATGCTGGCATCATATCCTCAGTGCCCTGACTTCCTCATGTTAATGTGACATATGGAGCGTAAAGCCTCTAGAGGAAATGAGCAGCTGAGTGACAGGACATGTCAGAGTGTCGAGATAAGCAACTGCTGTTTATAAAGCAAAGATGGCAGGCTATATTGTGACCTTTAGTTCATGCAGAAAGTTTCCAATTCACTGAGCAAGAGTGAGAAAGAGGCAAAAAAGTGATTTTACTTGAATTAAAAATGTAATTTGCCCAAGGATGCTTAGGAGATATTCCTTCCATGCACCACATCGTGGTGCTTTTATCAGAATAAAACAAGTAGCCCTGCAGCAATTTCTGCCTCAGACAGGTCCACTCTACATGAAGATTTAATTTGGCTTGTTTTAAATATAGAATACATCCTGTGAGCGCTCTAGAGCAGCACGGTATGCTTTATAGTTTAATATGCTCTATTTAAAATGTATAATAAAAACATCTGCTCCAGATTTGAAAGTGTGTCTAAGCTTTACAGACAGGATAGTTTAAACACCTATTTAACTACCGCTAGATGTCAGAATGAACTCCATTAGTTGTGTGTGTACAAACACACGTGTGTGTGTATTTTGTTTTGTACAAAAGCTTTACAAAGTGTTACACAGAGTTAATGGCTTCAGGCACATTCAGGGATCGGCATAAATTAGGCACTTTGTACACTTTAAATACACAAAACAATATGAATGACTTCTGAAATGTGAAAGTTATTATTAGGCTTCCAAATCCATCTTCTGTTATCATCACTGATTCTTTTTTGCCTCCAGAGTTCAAATTCATGTTTCCAATTTCACGATCCCTCGCAGATCATTTTCATGTCATTTTCGCAAGCCTTTCATTTTGAATGACTCATTTATTTATGTCATGTAGCGTGATATCAGCAGAACAGGCAACTTGTATACATCTGTGGAGCGAACAAGAGGTCTTTATTACTGGACAGAGTCAGAGGACTAGGGAGCACATTGTTTCTCCTTCCTCATTGTTTTGAAGGATTAGCTCTAATGACCCTTTAAATGAGCCCTTACTGTACTCATCATGGTTAAGCTGGGGGGAGAAATATTGGGCATGGATGGGAGGAACGCAGCATGCCTAGGAGTTCAAAAGGACGGAAACAAAAAGGCCACTATGGAGTTTTCAGATGCACAGCTGCCAGATACATAAAAGATGTGCAATTTTCAGATTAATGGCAATCAACACTTTTAGCACACCTCAACACCGTACTAATCTTTGCTTTCATGAGGGTATTTTTTTCTCCTACTTGTAGAAAAACAGCTCTTTTACTTGCTTTCCTACAACACATGCAGCATTGCTCGGTAATTTGGTATGTCTATACAGACAGCTGTGCTTTGTGCATCGAGTAAAGCTGAACATAATAGAGTTGCTGCTTGTGTAGCCATGCAGGGCAGCAGTATTTGGCTGGTTGGCAGTTGTGCCCTCTTGTTAGGGCCTCAAACCACACACTGCTGCGTCCTGACCCTCCTCCGACCTGAGTGGTGTTATGGCTTTGATGGTGGCTTGTTTAACCTAACCTCAGCAACCTGAGGCTACCCACACACAGGGGTTAAGAGGTGAAAGTCTGAAGAGAGAGCGAGAGAAAAAAAAAAGAAAACAGAGGTATGAAGGCAACAAAAGTCTTGTCTGGTTGTGATTGGCCCACATTTTCATTTCATCAATGGTCTGCATCTGGCTTAAGTCGTGTTCGTTCAGGAGCAGCAGTCTATACATTTATCAGCTGTGACTGAAAAGTAGCAGATTACCCAAGAGCGCACATGAAAGACTTCTTATGTAAAAAGGCAGGATGACAGCCGAGAGTTCGCGTATCTCTAACAGCCACATGTTTGTCCACGAGCACATGCATGCTCACAGAGGAGGATCTTGCCCAAGTTAACACAGAGAGTTTGGAGGTGAGGGGGTTCACATTCCCAAAACAAGATGCAAGTCAAACACAAACCAGATGCCATGCTCCTCTAAAGTAAATCAGTCATTCATAAAAAGGCCTTGCTATTAAGGACAATGGCCATTTCAAAGCACCTCAAATCCCCCCTTATTCCTGTTCAGTCTCTCTCTTGCTCCCTCGCTATTTGCCTAGTCCATCTCTATGGCAGCCAAGTCACAGAGGAACAATGGAGGGGAATTATAGTCCAACAGCATAGTTTGAATTCTGTAGGCTGCTCTGCGACTGTAGGCTGCATGACTTGCAATAACAGTAAAAATCATTTAGTACATAGTCATTCCTCGACCATAGGAGAACTGCTGAAAGAAAGAAATAAACATCGCAGAGTCGGGATATAAAACATGCTAAACTACAGGCTGGTCTGATTAACAGATAAAGACACAATGTTTTGCACTCCTTCTTTCAGAGAGGAAAAAATGAATAAGATGAGGACTTAGATTAATATGGAGGTTTGTCCAAATATTTCTGTAATCTGAGGGAATTCAGCTGGTCTGCTGCCATGAGGGCTGACGGGGGACTTTTATACTGAGGAGAGCCTGTGTCAGGGCCTGCTGTGCCCGGCAGGCCAAGGGCAGCGCTTGTACCCATCAAGGCCCACCCGTCAGCCACACTGAGCCGACTGAAGGGGAGTTCTGTCCCAGTAC